AGAAGAGCCCCTAATTTGTATAAGATCTTGAGAAACGATAAGGATAATATCAGAGCGGAGGAGAGAGCAGGGGTGTATAAGATTCCTTATGAAAACTTACAACTGGACGTTAAAAAAGATTATATCGGCGTCACCACAAGAAGCTTGGGAGTAAGGCTCAAGGAACATAGATATGCCATAAGAAAAGCGTCTAATTCAACGGTTTTGTCACAAATGGCGCAAGCACAAGGATCTGAGGTGAAATGGGACGAGGCAACAATCATCAAACCTCTGTCTTCCCCAACTCTAGCAATGACGGCAGAAAAAATAGAAATATACAGAAGTAAGATAAGAGAAGGCTGTTTAAATGCGAGGGATTCCGAGAGCCTGCCTTCGGCATGGAAATATTTGGTTAAGAAATATACTACAAGCTCCGACCAGAATTAATACATTGAAGATTTATGTTATTTTTGTTTTAGTGTTTTATTTTAATTTTTAAATATTCTTCCGTTATTTTCTCTTGTAAAAAATTTTTGATTTAAATTTTTATGTTCTATTCATGGAACATTTACGTTCCGTTGTATTTTTCAACCTGAAGATGGCCTATTAATTAGGCTGAAAACGTTTGTTGTTTAAAAATTATATTTCTCGGCAAAAAAGGTGTTTTGTTTATCTTTAAAATTCATTTGTTTCCACACAAGTTTATCCTTATAAGCATACAATTAAGCCATAAAACTGAAATAGGTCTATGGGAAATTCCTATGAACTTTGACCGATCGACCTGAAAGTTTGGCTGACGTCTGGCCCATAATAGAAAGGCTTCAGTTTAAAATTTGAGCTTTCTAGACCTAGTAGTTTCTTCTCTACGAGAGTCTTTGGTGCCACATGAAAAAGAAAATACAGCTTTTGGCAATTTTTGCACTTTTCAATCACTTATATTTTGGCCACCACTTTATAGAAAATCTTCAATTTTGCACACTTCCTAAGAAAACAATTTTCTTTCAAATGAGATATACGGAGTTACTTAAGGCGTTTGTGGCAGAGAAATCGACTCCCGAAAAATGAGAACTCTGATTCCTGTATATGTAGTTGGTCAGTGACTGCTGCCACTCTCAATAAACTAAAATGTAATCCGCAAACTTTAATCAGGCAGATTCCAAAGATATTCAAAATAATTAGAAAAACGTGAACCGATTGACCAGTGCTTGGACTGCTAATGTGCCAATGGTTTTGTTATTGGTTGGTCAGAGGGCAAAATCGGCCTTGGACAGTATCTACTCCGGAAAAGCAAAACTAATCTAATTAGAATTACTCAAAATACGTAAGTCGAACAAGTTTTGTGGGAAAACCGAGATGCTCCTGTTAAGGATGGGATTAAAAATAAAAAGTTAAGACTATGATTGAGTCAACGTGGATGCTTATTCCACCATTTTTAATACAAATGGGAATAAATTTTGGGTGGGTATGCACACAACAATCCCAGTTTACAAACCGTCCAGCAAAACTTTTCTTTCCAATTAATCAGTGTGTAGAGGGGAAATTCCTGCACCCAGGAAAGGGAGGGAATGTTGTCAGGAAGGAGGAAGATGTGCCACCGATTTTCCCACCACAACTCATAGACGGACCAACCAGAGGATGGTCCTCGGGAACGTGCTGCTTGGCAAACTTGGCCAGTTCAATCAATTCCGGAAGAATCTCCTGTTTGTCGTAGCTGTTGGTTAGGTTGACGAAGGTGGTGACCACTCCGTACAGCACAGACAGGTCGCCGGTCTGAAAGAAGGCCTCTCATTAGTAAATAGCCCAGAGCCCGGAAGACAGAGTGGGAGAAGGGGGAGTCTTACCTGGGCCAGTTCAATCAGGGCTCGAATGGCAGGGGCATCATCAATCAGGTCCTCTTTGACATCGGCGTCCAGCGTCAGGTAGGAGAGCCCCTCGGCTGCCCACTTCCTGATGTCCCTGTCTTTGGCTGGGTTGATCAGGAACCTATCAGACAGCACAAATGAATTTTGGTATGAGAAACAAAATGGCTGCCTCAGCACAGAGAAGGCAAAATGTTTGATGTTTTGCCTTCTCTATGCCACCAACGAGGAAAGGGACGACTCACTTTCGACAGCAGGTGGCCAATTTCAAACTGGAACCTTCGGCGAAGGGGCGAAGGGAGGCGTCAGTTCCACCCAGGGAACCCAGCTTGCACAGACCCTGCAGAAAGAGAAAGTTAGGCGGGCCATTGGCACCTGGAACAAAAAAAGTACGTACCACCAAGGCGCGGATTTTGATGTTATCGTTTTTGGACTGGTACAGCTTCTTGAGGATACCTGTGCCCATGGAGACGATGCTGGTGCACTTGTCTTTCTTGGAGGCTGCTGCAATGATGGCTTCTGCCGCCACTTTCTGTAAACAATTGGAAATTTGGCATAAATCAGAGGCCAAGGTCCTTTCCGGTGCCGCTCCCAATTTATGGATTTCTGGGTGGGATCAGGTGGATTTTGCCGGGAATAGGCTCCCTGCCTATAAGTTTTGCGTACCGATGGAGACCTCTTGCGATAAAATGACGAACTTTGTAGTTAAGACTAAGCTAACAAATAAAAAAACTGAATATTTATAGTGTGGTGGGATGTAATTCTTACAGCAATGCCACAGGGATAATACTTTCAGAATGGAAAAAAGACCCAGTTAGAAGAAAGCATGGAGGCTTTACTTTTATTTCTCTGTCTTGGGAATGATGTCCATCAAAATGTCATTATGAAATTTTATTTCCAATAAACAATAATGTTTGGAGAACGGCATGGCCGTGGAATTTCTGGGCAAGGCAAGGGACCCTTCATTTAGCAGATAATATCTGGTGTTGTCTACCAGTATATACAGTGTCAAAATCCTCCCTAAGTTCGTACATGCTATCGTCACCCACAGCAAGCAGTAATGCCGTCTAGCAAGTAAAGTAGGAACATTGGCCAGTTAAACAATCTACTAAATTGCCGAACGATCGCCTAAATATCGGGCTATTATATGGCTAATTAAATTACTAGAATAAAGTAATTTGTCATTAGAGGTAGGCGTTAGGTGCCATCTCTTAAGTAAATTAATAATTAAAATTAAATAAATAAATAATTAAATTAATTTTAGAACCTTCTGGAATAAAAGAACAGGCCCGGGACGGGGCTTGAACCCGCAACCTCCGCTTGCCGTGCGGTGCGCTTGCCAGTTAAGCCACCTGGACCCCGAGCAAGTTAGTAGATATACTATTCGGGCTTTGGATGTTGTTATTTATATGTTAAACAATCTGTTTTCACTCTTTAAACAACAATGATGACAAAACACAGTTAACTTGTTTAAGTTGTGGCAATGCAACACTTGGGCAATCTGTATAGGGGAATGCCTTCTGGGAGTTCTTTTTAAGGGTAACTGGCCCCTGTTTGTGCATTACAGATGTGGAGAAAACCTGGAAAACTCCACGTGGTCGGCCCGTCCTGGCCAGGTGCCAACCCATAATCAAACTCCCAATGTTCAGGGAACAGAACTGCTTGGCCACCTATGTTTTGTCCAAGTTAAAATTTGCTTGTTTACAAAATTACAGATACAGTAGAGTCCCGAAAACTCGGCAGTCCAGATAACTCGGCCACACCCTGGCAGGGCAAAAAAAAAACCCCTAGTTAATTTTCATTATAGACAGCTTTATGCCTCAAAGTATTTTTCTGATGTCTGTCTTATCAGGTAAACTAGTAGCCAGGGACACCCCCTAGTGGGCGTTCTTTACAAATTTCCATGAAGCACGGTTCCTTTGACTTTTTTGTTCCCATCAATATGCTCTACAGCACTGTAAAAGTCCGAATGGTAAGATTTACCCTCCGAATAAAGAGGTGGCGATCCCCCCAAACTGTAGCCCCCTGTGCGAACAATTAAGTCAAAGGAACCATACCCCTACTCGCGACCCTTCGCGAGATATAAGCCCCTGAAATAATAAATTCCTATTACAAATACACTGAATTATTTATATTGTTATATTGACCACATAATAATTTATTGGCCAAATGAATAATAATAATTTATATTGTTAATTTAAATAATAATTAAAATTGTTAATTTGAATGTTTTGAAATATGACACACGATAGGGGTGCCTCTAGTGTCCGTTATCAAATGGTTACGGGACGGACACCCGTTGAATGGGTTATATCAGGTAAATTACTGTACACTGTGTATTCATTAATTTTCATTTTCATGTAGTAAAGGCCTTCATAAAGTATGTATTTTTGCTTTGTTTAAGGGTATTTGGGCATTTTATTCTCTGTTGTATTCTCAAGAAAACAATACATACAAGTACAGTACAGTATTTTCTGAGGAAACACTCGTACTTATTCTTTTTTAACCCCATTTCCGATAACCTGGCATTTTCACAAACTCGGCCACCCTTTGGTCCACATTAGGTCGCGTTTTCAGGACTCTACTGTAATACGTTTGAAGACTGTACTAATGATAAATATAACAAAGTTTTTTGTAGTTACCATAGCACTAAGTCTAGAAAATCACAATATTCACCAAAGCAAGCACATGGTGCACACTGTAATTCTCTACAATGTAAAGCCACCCATTGTTGCCAGTGCTATTTTGGCTGTACTTTTTTATTTTAAGCTTCTGGTCATTGAGTTTGCATATTGCCATTTGATAAATGACATTGGTAGTAACTCATTAAGACAAGTAAAAATTATTGGTGGCTGCCCGAAGTGAACGAATCTTGTCCGGTAGCCAATGTAGTAATTCATAAGTTTGTTAGTCTTTCATTTACTGAAGCTACTATACAGAATTGAATTACACATTTATCTCCTAGATCAATGGTTCCCAATTAGTGGTACACATACCCCTGGGGGGTACGTGAAATTGCATGAAGGGGTACATGCGGCAATCTAAAATCAGTCAATTTAAAATTTAAATGCACGAGATGAAGCAATCAAAAAAATAATGGGTGGACCATCAAAAATTTGGCAATTTACAACATGATGTTGAATGCACAAATTCGTTTATTTATAACTAAAAATATTCTCTGCATTTTTTTTTTTAAATGAAATTCTTACACAAGAAACAAAAATTGTACAATTAACACAATTTGAGTTAATGGTACAATTATCATTATCATCATGTCAGCGAAGAGGCAATAAAATATTTACTACCATTTTGCACAATATACCTCTGCGAGAGTGGATTTTTGGCCATGACAAACATGAAAACTAAACATCGTCACCAACTTGTCTCAAATCATCTTCGAGTTGAAGCTGACCAAAAGCAACCAGATTTTAAAAAGTTGTGCAAAGAAAATTGTGCACATCAAAATTAAATAACCTTATGTTATTTTCATTATTATTAGAATTGTATTTTAAAGGAAATAAATGTAGAAAAAACTTATTCTATTTATCACTTGCTGTCTAACCACAGCTTCGCCCGCATTATATCGAATTTTCTCGTGGGAGTAAGATATTTTCTCATAGTAAAATGTAGCCCAGTGTTTCTCAACGGGGGCGATATCACCCCACATGGGCGTTTTTCCATGTTGAGGGGGCGATTTGTAACAATTTTCTGGGCGATATAGTAAAACATTATATTAAGAACTAGCTGCAAGGACCCGCTTCGCTGGGTTTTCATTTGTTCGTACATTTGTATGTAATATAGTTCTTTATGTATATAAAAGACTGTTATTCTAAGTAATCTAGAATCTAGCTGCAAAGACCCGCTTCGCTGGGTTTTTAAAAAGTAACAATAGTGAAGATTAAGATAATTACATTATAGCCAATCTTACCCGTTTTCTATTTCTATGGTCCCGATTCGATTTCTGAATGTCTCCTGTTCACGTCAAGTCAAACAAACTATTTTCAACGTTTGGAACGTTTACAATCGTTCTATAATCGAACCAATATTCGAATTTTACGTTCGAATTTAATTCGAACAAAACATTCGAAATAGAAAGCCACTTTCAACCACTTTCAGCCTCATATCTCCTGCACCCTTATAGCTATCGAGACGCAACCACCCCTATGCACGAATGGAGACTTGGGGCTACCACCACATACAACACATTCACAACATACCACCACATACAAACACCATTCACGTGCGATGTGTAGTTTTGGCGGAAAAGTGAAATATAGGGACATACATGTCCATTTTTATATATACAGTAATACCCCGACTTACGCGAATCCGGAGTTACGCGATTTTCAAATCTCGTCGATTCATCTTTTGTTTGAGCGCCACGCAACTCTTAATTACTCATTTCCCCCCACACTATTGTTCGGCTTACATGTTCGGACATGTTCGACATATAGCTACAATTTATTGTGTGTTATTTGTATGTATTTATATGCAAAATTATACCCCGACTTACGTGAATTTGACTTACACGGTTATCGCTCGGTCCCACCTATCGCGTAAGTTCGGGGTATTACTGTATATATAGATATAGATATTTGGATATTTTATTCGTTAGATCATACAATAATTAAACAAATAACATTATACTAGTCACTAGTCTGTTCAATGCAGTACAAATTTGGCGTTAGCCTTGGCCCTCGGCATCGGAATTTTGAAGTGAAGGGGGCAAAACTACGTAACAGTTTCATTGAAGGGACGACGATTCATTAGAGGTTGGGAAACACTGATGTAGCCTATGTCCATCTCCAACATGTAAGTTATCTCTGTGCCAAATTTTATTAAAACCTGTTCAGCGGTTTAGATGTAAAAAGGTAACAGGCAGACAGAATTACCTTCGAATTTATAATATTAGTAGAAATTCATATTAATCCATACTATAAGGGGTACGCAAGTTTGAGCTCTTTCTTGAAGTGGTACACAGGAAAAACTAATTGGGAACCACTGTCCTAGATAATCTACATCTAAATGCTTAGATAATTTGGTCACAAACGGATATAACAATTTTTAGCTTTTACCCATTCTGGCAACGAAAACTCATAAATGGTTTATCAATTATCATTTGTAAACCAGCTCCTCAAATCTCCAAAAATAAAAGTTATCTACTTAACTGTTAATCTTACTAGCACAATGAATTATAAAGAATTCATGTAAAATTGAACCTGTGTAATAAAATTTGTTAATTACTGCCTGTTCCATATCTGATTAACTGTTGTACAAAGAAACACAATTATTATGCTCAAATTCAAATGTCATTTTAGGTCTTAAGGAATGTCACCTTTGTCTTTTCAAATTTTGATAAAGAAGTTGCTGTCATCAAAGTTAATATATCAGCCTTGGATGTTTCACTTTCAATTTTACTTACCTGTCGTTTTTACATTTTTTTACAAATTTGCTCAAATAAAAATAACATCATTCCTTTGTAAAAACTGGAAGTAGGTTTGTATGTTAAAATTTTTTAAACAACAACGAAAT